GCCCCACCTCCGGTTAACAACGAACAGCTCATTCGTTCAAGAGATGCGTACCGCAGCTTCTGCCGGTTGCTTGCTTCGGCTAACTCGAAATCGAACGGCATGAACACAATATTTTTCAAAATTTCGCTTTTTTAAAAAATTTGCAAATAAAATTTCACTCTCTTAAATTTATTATTTGATTAAAAAGTGAGTTTTTTGGGATTCAAGCAAATAATAGACATAGAATTTTCACTCTAGATGTTCTACCGCCGAGAACAATGGGGCGTGCAATTTATCTTGTAAGTCTATGCATTACACCAACTGGCCCCGACTAATTTGTGAGAACTACTTTGTGTACAGTCGTGGACACATTGGTTGCGACACATTCTTTTTTATAGATTTCAAAATGCACTAATATTTTGCAAATGCGGACCACGATTGGTGTTATACTGTCTCTAGACTAAAGATAGATATCTAAAGTAGATAGATATCTATAGTACATCGTGGTTCGCATTTGCAAAATATTAGTTATCTATAAAGTATATATTATGTATATTGAATATATATTAGAGACCTATAAAAAAAAGTATCGCAACCGATGTGTCCACGACTGTACACTATCAATATATATTGTGCGACATACCAAACGAACACGCGGCACTAGCGGAGGGACTACATTATTCGACCAGCTAAACACACAATATCCGAAATGTGCAATCAGTGCATCCCAGCCGAAATGGCTACCCTTTTTAACTTTTGTCCTCAACAAATTCCGCGTGCCTCTCTATTCCTTCCTCAAATTTGTCGTATTCTACTCTCATCGCATATGCACGTATTTATTGATCGCAATTTCTTTTGGAGATATACAAATACTAACGCATGCGGAGAACCAGGAGCTATATTCAAATAAGATTTTGCATCCCTATTGCGGTTTGGAAATTGTATTATTCTTTGCGTCCGTATAATATATATATATATATATACATATATATATATATATATACATATATGTTAGATTCTGAACGTAATTGCTTAAACGAGCAAAATTTTGTCTAATTTCCCTATATTTTTAACCAATTAATTTAAAAAAATATAACGCAATTATGTAAATATGACTATTATAGCATTAGATGTAACATACTTTGTGAAAATTGAATAATAATTTATCAATATTAATTTTTATTTAAAAAAAAATTTATTTTGCGAAATTAATGAAAAGAATAAGCAAAATAAATTTATGTTATTACTAATTAAAATCCATAAAAAGGTCGAAACATTGTAAAAGAGATCTAAGAATATAATTTAAGTGTATATATATTGATATATATATTGATATATATATTATCAATATATATATATTGATATATATATATTGATTAATACATTAATCAATAAAACATACCTTTCTCTCTATTTTTCTCTTTTTGTCACTTTACAAAAACTGAAAAAGAACTTAAAGGAAATTTCTTTAAGCAATATAAATTGAACTCGTGTTTCTAAATAATTATATAATATAATTTTTCTTTTACTTGCATTTATCGATATTTCTTAATGCATAATAAATGTATAAATTTTATGGAAATAATTCGGAAAAGGGAATTTTTGAGACCAATCTATTGCAAAGAGCAGACACCCATGGATCCACTACCTCCGTTACAAGTGGCAACATCGCTCGATATAACGGCGGCCAAAATTCATTTACAAAAGTTATGGCAAAATCATCTAAAAATAAAAATTAACACTTAATAATATAATTAAAAAAACAAGTTATATATGTATAGGTAATTATAATAGAAACTATAATCATAAATATAATTATATTTACAAAAATAACTATTTTTTGATAGCTTCTGTTTAAAAAACTAAGCAAAATAAATAAAAACATTAAAATAAAAGATAATAAAATATTTTACTTTGTTAAGTAAGATGCATCTAGCTCCCTTTCTTTTTTTAAGTCATCAGTAATTGACTTGATTATTTATCATTCATAATATAACATACATCGCAGAAAAAAATTTTAATGCATTGTTTATATATTTACAAGATTTCTGAAGAAATTTTTTTAAAAAATAGGTACTTGAAAATAAGATTTTAATAAATAAGAAAAAATTTTAATTCCATATATTTTTTTAATTTACAATATTAAAATTACAGATGTACAGGGTAATATATATGTATCAAATTAAATTTAATATATATACATATACATGCATAAATTACAGATTATTAGTTTTTCATAATTATTTTAGACCTTCTATCAAAGTGACAAGATTTATAAGTAAATGATGAATTAATCGTCTTTTCTCAGATAATTTGATACATATTAGATAAAGCAGTAAAGAATAAAAATCTGAATAAGTTTAATAACTTACTAAGCTCTTTGTTGCCTTGGAAAAATTCAAAATACACTTTAAGTTTTTTAACTGATGGAAGCATATGGAAATGTTCCACAATCATTGTGTCATTTATTACATGCCCAGTTAGACTCCACGTTGTTATGATTTCGTCACCAGTTAAATTAAAAGGACCTGTTACATATATTATAATATAATTACGTAAACATATTCAAAAATATTTTTGAATAAAATAACAAAAGTCTTTATAACTATATTATTATTTTAAGAACAATCAAATAATAAAAAAGTATAATATTTATAGTACTTATAAATTTTATAAAGACATATTTTAGATTATGCAAAGATAGGTATAATATTCGTATTGTACAATAGACAAATATTATTTTATTTATGTATTATCATTCATCATTAAGAGG